TAATCAGCTGACAGTCTTCCATCGTTTTGTTATATAACATACGATGGAATTGATTGATAACGAATCATACTTCGATGTCACATGAATATTGATTCTCTAATGACTAATTATCATTTTACTTTATTTCTAACATAAAAAAAAACTTAAACAAATACATTTGAACAATAAAGATTATCTCAAAAAAAAAATATTTGATAACATAATTATTAACACAAATATTGACTAATATTAAATATTACAACAGAAAAATACAATTTACATAATATAAGGAGAGATCGATTTATATTAATTGACATGAGTCCATTTCAAAAGTGTTTTTCTTTTAGAGTAATTCGAAAATTTTCTATTAACTTAAATAATAATTTGTTCATGTTGATTATGACGATGAGTAAAAAAGAACAAGACACGTTTGTATATATGCATTAATTTAAAATCCCGATTGAATGATGATGACCAACACTTGCGTTATGTACCATCATTCTATAGAAACATAAGATGAACAAAAATACCTTTTTTTGTTTAATCAATGAATATTCTCTTTCTAATTTTCAATAACTTACAAGTTTTTACGAATCAATGACAAAAAAAGAGGTTATGAATAAATAAATGAACCAAGATTCTTTCATCAAGAATTCTTTTTAAAAACTATCATCAACATCCAACTTTCAAAATGATGAAAAGAAAATATTTAATTGATCTTAAAACTTACTTGTGTCTTGTTTTCTGTAAATTATTTATTAATAATAAATCTGTATGTAACACGAATAAGTATAGCTAACATTACGAAGTTTATAAAGAGACAAAAAATACTAAAGCAGATAACACCAATAACTGCCACTTGTTGTTAAACCATATTTCTATGGAAGCAAAAAAATCATTTAGTAATCGTCTAATCTTCAAAGAAAACTTTTACTAATTAGTTTTATAAGAAGTAAGTAAATTCTTTCGATCTTGTTATATATCATTTTGTTGTATTTCTGTTCGTATAATACTGAAACTCAGTGTTTAGGAATCCTCTTTGAACTTGGATTTGCATTGAAAAGCAGCTCATTCAGTTTTATGGCCATCAAATCGCATTTGTCTCCTTTTAGATTTCATTAATAACATCTTTGTTGATAAATGACTGCCTTCTCATACATTTTCATCATACCTACAATTTAACTCTCTTATATCCTTTTTCAAACAGATAATTTATATTATTTTGTTGATTTTCCAAAGAAAGTTGTACTACAGCTTGTTCACAGGTAACACATTCATCTATTTTTGATCTTCTGACTCCTATAGCGCGAGAGTCGTGCGTCATTAACCCTTTGAGGGTGTGAGATGTGCATGTGCGTGTTGATCTTGTCTTCACCCAGATTCACCCACACCCACGCCCCACCTCACACCCATGCTCTTACCTACACCCATCCACACCCCACACCCATACCTGAGTTGATGAATTTAGTTATCTCTTGGTGACTTTTATGAACTTGTTGGAGTATCAAAGTAGTGCAGTTGTCTGGGAAGAGATGTATAGAAAAAGCTCTTACACTGTTTCCCATATCTGTATAGTAGATTGTGAAGATGTAGAGGCTCAGAGAGCTTTTTGGTGGGAAGCTGATCTCTTAATAAGTCAATAGGAATTTACATTTTTAATAGTTTGACAATGACTCCCATATGCCGCACAAGATCGTATGCATTTTTATCGTCGATATAGATGCCTAATGTGCGTATATTTCCGGTCAGGTTGTATTTTTATTTCTGGGCATATTGCCAGATTGTGTGGTCCATTGTTGATAGAAAAAAGGGTCTTGTAGTGGACGAATAGTTCTTCTATAATTTCCCTTGTCTTCTTCGCAAAGGTTACGGTGAAATCGGTTTTGAGATTTCTTGACCTATTTTAGCTTTTCTAAAATTTCGTGTGAGAGTACTGGTCTCCACTTGTCTTTATTTTGTCAGATAGTGAGTCGATTCTTGAGAGCATAGAGGAGTTGAGAAGTTAGGTGAGAAATAGTCTGACCGAGAATGTGCTGAGTCATATTGAATGGGATCGGCATACTGTACTGAAACTAAATTTATTTCATAGTATCTCAAATAGGCGTTTTGACTGTTAGCAATTTGTAATGATTACCTGTCAATTGGTCGAACAGAATCCGTGATTCATCATTATTTACGTAATAAAAGCGTTCCTCGTTCATTTTGAGCTATCGAAAGATCTCTCCTAAATCTTGAAAGACAGCTTACGTCTTAATTTCAAGATAAAAATAACAAGGCACTTTGAAAGAGAAGGAAACAAATCTCTATACACTCAGAGAAATACTAAAAGAGGACAGATGAATGAGAGAGAATATGTTTCGTATGTAGCAGAATAAAAAGTATGAACGTTAGAATTTTAAGTCTTTTTCCTCATATATTTGAAAATAACGGTATCGTGGACTTTTCTCTTAAAATATTTGTTTTTTGTACTTAAAACCTACTTTTTCCTATACAAACTCAACGAGTTGTATGAAATCATGATACAAAGAAGAAAAAAAATCTTACTGAATTTTTTGAATTCTCAGCACATAGCATACATTGTAAATACTTTAGATTTGAATATCCTAATCTGTACTTATTAAAAAAAGAGGTAATAGTTTAAATTTCTTAGTTTAAGAGTGAGAGTTTTAATTTGTTCAATATTGGTGATTTACGATACACACCCTTCCACAGTCCTAAAATCTGATTAAAAAAGACGGCCTTGTTTTAATCATGTATCAAGAACAGATTGGTATATTGAGAAACGAAAAACGTCAGGATAACCACCATCGCTTTTATTATCTTTTTTTCCAAATATAAAAGCATCTGACTTACAGATGTTGAAGATACTGTCTCATTACTATCAATTGCGACATTATTGTTGGCACAAAATATTCGGACAAACTTGATGATAACATGATAAAGAGAGGAAAATGCACTCGACATTTCAGTAAAAATATTCTTGGGTACCAAAGCGTAGAGAATAGTCATTATGATCGTTTTTAAATTTCTTTTAAACAAGGACGGACAAATTTGATAATGCAAGTTTTGAAATACTAACTGTAGCTATGTAAACAGAGTTTAAAAAATGTTGTAATAACTATTCTCTACGCTTTTGTACTCAAGAATATTTTTACTGAAATTTCGGTTGCATTTTCCTCTCTATATGATGCTATTATCAAGTTCGTGCGAATATTTTTGCCAACAATAATGCTGCAATTGATAGTAATGAGGCAGTATCTTCAACATCTGTAAGTCAAATGCTTTGATATTTGCAGGAAAGATAATACGAGCGATAATGGTCATTTTAACGTTTTCCATGCCTCAATATACTGATCTGTTCTTGATATAGGATTCAAACAAAACTGTACGAAGAATTTTTGTTACATCTGCATATATCCTAAGATATGGAAAAAAAATTCGCCACATTTTTTCTATCGATATATCTTTGCAACTACTTGAGCAATTTCAAAAAATAAATAGTTATTTTAAAGAGTATTTCAAAGGACACTTATTGTGTAAAAGTAAAGGTTCTAGCTTGAGAAGTAAGAGCGTCAATAAAGGAAGTTTGTTACATGCGTTTTTGGTTCTCAAAAACAACAGATGGGACAGATTCAATGGCCATATTTTGCATTTCAATTTTACATTACTTAATACTTTGTTTAAAAAAAATATATGTCACAACATGCAGCATGAAAAGCTGTACAATCTACAAAGTGAAGCTGATTTTAATTATGCATTTTTTGTTTTGAAAAAAAGCAAAATTCTTTGCGACTGATTTTCGACGCTGTGAAAAGCTCATTGTTTTTCTACAAGAATCATTCATTGCATCTTTTCATCACCTAATACATTTCTTTGAATTAAAACAAAATGTACCACAACATACAGCCTGAAAAGCTCTATAATTTACACAGAAGAATTTATTTGTTAAAATCTCTCAATTAGTTGCAATGATATATTGATAGGAAAAAGGTCACAAACTTGTTTCCCTTATATTATTAAAAACCTATTTAATGGCTAAGATAAATATAACATGTAGAACTATTCTAATAAAGAATGAGAATTAAAATAAGAATCTTGTTTTTTTTTTGCGTGAGCTCAATATGAAATGACGAACAATAGTTAAAAAATAAAAAGTCTGTTGTTTATATTTTCTTATTCTTGATTTTCTTCGCTTTTTTCTTCTTTATATTTGACGAGGACATTATTCTATTGAATGAAAAGAAGAAAAAAAATGAAGTTCTTATAATGTAACAAGTAGTCATAACGATAAAAAAAAGCATGACTTAAAAAAGTTCAATGCGTTCCGTTGTTTTTTTTTAATTCTTTCGCTTTTTGTTTACATGCATGCCATTTTAAATTCACCGGTTCTGCTTTTTGAAATCGTTTTTTTCTTGTGCACATGTACACTTTCCTATAGTCTCCACTAAAACCAAAGTACTCCGTCTCTCATCACAATTTCATTATGTTAGATTTCATTCGCTTTTTCTTTTTGAGTTCTTTTTTTTTTCTCTTTTTGATCTTGCTTTGTTTTCTTCTTTTTTCATAGACCGTGGCATTCACTTTATTTCCATCAACAGACAGCATCTGTACTCCAAAATGAAACATACATTGGCATAAGTTTACTCGAGTATGTTTTCTTTTACAGACAAATAATATCATTTGACATTACTTTTATTTCAAAGAATCAATACTTAATTATGGTACTGATCAGTCCAATGATTGCCGCCAAACAATCAGTAAGAAATTCAACAAAAAAAAAAATTTTTTGTTTCTTTCGTATTAAAATCACATGAAACGAAAAAAAGAACAAACATAAAAAATCCTTATGATTTTTAAATACAATAACTTTATTTATTTCTATTACTTTCACACACACAAAACACAATATTGAAGAAAATTTTTCTCTTGAGATACTTTTATAAACAAAACAGAAAAAAAAATAATGTGAAGATTTCTCTAGAGAAAATTTTCTGTCATTTTTCTAGACTACATCAAGTCGTATGAAAATAACATTTATTTTATTATGTATTTTATTATGTATTATTTCATTTGTACTCTATTCAAATACATCATTAAATTGGACATTATTAAATTCAATTATAGCCAATAGTTTAATATCTATTTCACATTCATCACAAAATATCATCATATATCCATTACTAAATTTAACTGATAAAATAAATTTAACTGATAAAATAAATTTAACTGACAAAATAAATTTAACTGATAAAATTAATCAAACTAAAACAATTTTACTTCCACCATCAGAAAATCGTCGTTTTGCAGTATTTGCTTGTTCAATTCATTCAACAATATTAGCATATACATTTTATACACCAATAACAGCTGCTAGTTGGAAACGTGTTGGTTATGAAACAATTGCTATATTTGTTGGAGATTTTACTAAACCAAATGTTCTTACAGGACGATTAAATTTATCACGTAATTATTTAAAACATATGGGTGGACATATTGTTGATATACAATGTAATGAATCATATTCAGTTAAATTATCTCAATTAGTACGAGTTTTTTCAGGATTTTTACCTGATAGTATTGTTCAAGATGAAGATAATATTTTAACAGGTGATAGTGATTTAATTCCATTGAAAGCAAGTGAATATAAACCAACACCCGGTACAAATGGTTTTATTTTTAATGCTTTTTGTTGTGGAACATTTCAACGACGTGGAAAAACTTATACAATGTTTCCAAGTAAATTAAATTATTTTCTTTGTTGATTAAGAATATTTGACTCTTCATACTATTCACTCTTATTTGAAAATCTATATGAATATTTTTATTTATTCACAAATTATCAAAACATGATGAGCTTTTCTATAAAGATAATTATCATTAATCTCTAACATTCTTACATATAGTTAAATAAATAAAACTATTTGTTTTTTGTTCTAGTGGGTCATATATTTTTACAAAAGAAAGCATGGCGTGCTATTATTATGGAATCAGTACAACGTTCTGAACTTCTTATTAATGCTGATAATCATACACAATATTTATTAAGTGAATATGCTCCTCTATCATTTGATACGATAAGTTTATATGGTCGACATGAATTTAAAACAATCTTTGATCAACGTATGGATAAAGGTGATTCTGCTTGGTATATGGATCAAGTATTATGTTCAATGTTATTAACTGATTATCGTAAAAATCATTCAAATTTTACTATAAGTGAACGTGGTCGTATTGATCGTCTTGATCGTGCATATCCAATGAATTATTGGAATCGAGATGATTTTAGTCAATTTGGTGATTCACATTTAAAACATGATGATATACTTGAAGAAGGTAATTGGAAAATATTTAATAAATTACTTAAAAATTTATTTAATGATACATTTGTAACATTATTTAATGATTATTATAAACAGTATATGATTATTGATAAAATTTTAGTGAATCAAACAAAATTGTGAAAATTAAATTTTTATTAATTATTTTGAAAAATTTTATGTGATAATTTATTTCTTTCATTTTTCATAGATAAAAATATTTTTCTATCTTAAACAAAATTCATATATTTCAAGTAAAATACAACGTTTGATAATATTTCTGCAGTTAGTTATACAAAGTTTATTTCATTTTTGTTTCTATGAAAACATTTAGTTAATGATAGAGAATTACAAACATCTGTATATCGAGCGTCTAATGTGCTCTAATAAAAAAAAAAAAAAAAAAATAATTAATATTTTTTTCAAGTACTTATATGGTTTCACACCGAGCATTCGTGTCCTCGTGAAAAAAGATTAGAAACTTAAATTATTCCGATGAAGTTTTTTTTTTGGGGAGATCAAAACGGAGTCTCTGTATGAATTAGAAATTCTGAAAACTTTTTGATTAACTTTGCAAAAATAACTAATGAAATATTATTCGATGCAATGTCTTAATTGAAATTGATGTTAAAAAAGATGTGAATTTTGTTTAATATAGAAAAATATCTTCATCCATGTTATTTTTTTTTTGCTTTTTGTTTACTGTTGTGACTTTTTGTTTTTCCAAAATGGATGTCGTCAGATCAATAACTCACTGTTCTGATCGAAATAAGCCGTAGCAATAAATTATTATTTTCACTTAGTTTTATTAAAAATATCACCAATAAGTTTTTGTCTTTATATGATTTTAATGATTAAAATATAATATTATTTTATTTTTAAATTCACGATTTATCTGTTTTTAAAACTTGATCTTTAAACATGTGCACTCAACATGAGATGTAACTTATTTTTTATTTTTATGTAACATCAATTATAATTCTTATTAAAAATCATATTATACAATATAGTTATTACAATAGAAGTTGACAGCTCGTTGGAACATGTTCATTGAATTATAAAATTCACATTGCTATTCAAGAAGTTATAAATGTATTGAATGTTTATGAAATAGAATTATTTGTATGTTTTAAAGATGAATAATTTGTAAATACATTAACACAAAATATTTGTTTCCAGAGGCGGTGTGAAGAGATCAGAACAGAGAGGGGTACCCAAAAATCGGAGAATGTAGCCTAAAATTTGTTCGATTATATTTTTCCAAAATCGAAGAAAACTCTTTAATAATCTCTTTAAATTAGGAGAAAATCTAGGCCAGAGTTTTCCAAGCAGGGGGGTATCCTCTCCGCTCGCGCCGCCCCTGCTTGTTTCGATTATTGTCAAGCTCTAATGGTATAAGTAATAATATAATTACTATTATTTTGAGAATCTTATGTAATCAGACCAATTGAAAATTTCGACTAATTTATTTTCACCGATTGAAAGAAACTTTTAATTGAAACATATTTCATTAACATTTTTCTTTAGAGAAATCTGAATAGGATTTATACCATATGACAAATATTTTTGATCGATATGATTTAATTAATTTATATTGCATATTAGACATGCATAATCTGTATTTGATGTAGATGTCGATAGTATACAAAAAAAACAAGTAACTTAATCAAATATAATATCGATAATATATTTGATTCTAATTTAAGAAAAAGTATTTATATTGAAATAAATATCATATAACAAAAAGGTTTATTAACATTTATTATCTAATTCAATCATTATTAATCATCCGTTTTTCTTTTTTTTCAAAATCTTTGTTTCTATCGTCGAATATCTGACTTTGTTCACTTATAATCGTCACACTTTTACTTTTTATATTTCATATAGATAAACTTTTCTTATTTAGATCATTAAAAGTAACAATGAGTTACTTTTTAAAATATGTTGAAATTGATAATTTTAAATCTTATAAAGGTCATATTGTTATCGGTCCATTAAGAAAATTTACTGCTATTATCGGACCAAATGGATCTGGTTTGTTTTAACTAAACAAATTCTTTATGATTTCATCTTTTTTTAGGTAAATCAAATCTTATGGATGCAATTAGTTTTGTTCTTGGTGAACCAACAAAAAGTTTACGTGTTCGAAAATTATCCGTATGTTTGCTTATTCATTTAAAACAAATAATTTCTTCTTTCAAAAAAACAGGAATTAATTCATGGTGCACCAATAAATAAACCTGTTAGTAATCGTGCATCTGTTTCATTAATATTTATTTCAAATCAAACTGATTATCATGATGAATATGAAAAACGTTTTCAACGTTTAATTATTGGTAATACATCTGAATATCGTGTTAATAGTCAACAATTATCAGCAACAGAATATACAGAAGAACTTGAAAATTTGGGTATTATACCTAAAGCAAAAAATTTTCTTATTTTTCAAGGACAAGTTGAATCAATTGCAATGAAAACACCTAAAGAATTTACAATTATGTTTGAAGAATTAAGTCGTAGTGGTGAATTACGTGATGAATATGAACAAACTAAACAAGAAAAAAATAAAGCTGAACAAGATACACATGCTAATTTTCAAAAGAAAAAAGGTGTTGAAAAACAAAAGAAAGAAGTTCGATTAGAAAAAGAAGTTGCACAAAAATATGCTGCATTAAAAACTCAATATGTAAGAAGAAAAAAAAACAAATAAATAAAATTATTATATTCATTTTGTTTTTTGTTTAGGATGAACAACAATTACAATTAAAATTATTTCAATTATATCATAATAAACAAGAATTAATTGAAAAATATGATATAGCTGCAAAGAAAAAAGATGAAGTTATGAAATTAGAAAAACGAAAAGAAATATCTGATGAAGAAATAAAAAATAAAAAAAAAGAATTAGCTATTTATAATAAAGAACTTGCTACAGATGAACAAAAAATTAAAGAATTAGTAAATAAATATTTTTTATAAAATATTAAAAATTCGAAATTTAAATAAAACATATAAGAAAATTATTTACTCAAATTTCGAATTATTAATTCTTTAAAAGTAACAAAATATTATTGTTTTTGTTTTTTTTTTCTAGGAAGCACAAATTAATAAAAATCGTCCAACATATATTAAAGCAAAAGAAAATTCAGTTCATCATCAAAAAAAACTTGATCTAGCAAAGTAAGAAAAATAATTAT